AAAAAAAAAAAAAAAAAACAACTTAATATACTTGTTTCCAGCCTATTTTGGGTTCATAAGCCATCACAACTGGCAAGAATTTTAGATTTTTCCTTGCCCAATTCCTCATTTACTAAAGGAACTGAGAGAAAAATTGGTTGATCGAGGTCATATAGGAATATAGTGGCAGTGTCAGCAAAAACCCACTGTTCTATTTCCTTGTATTTTTACCCTATTTAGTGTTTTTCCCTGGCAATAAAGCACAGTTTGGAGTGTTCAGTATGGTGGCACGCACCTATAACCCCAGCACTCAAGAGGCTGAGGCAGGAGGATCACTGCAAGTTGGAGGCCAGCCTGGGTTATATAGTGAGTTCAAGGCCAGCCTAAACTGCAAAGCAAGACCCTGTCTCAAAAAAAACAAACAAACAAAAAAAAAAACAAAAGAGAATTTGGAAATATTGTGGCAGAATTTCATTTCCTGGAGACATTTTTGAATTCTACTGATTATTGTTTCTTATATTCTTCTGCATATTTTCAGGTCATCAGATCCTTAAAGTACATCAGATAAAAGGGACTGTATTCATTGAAGTCAATTTTGTAGGCTACTCAGAAAGGAGGAGCCCAAAGGTGAGTGGGATTTGTTATGTAAGGAACACGCAAAAGCCAGATGTGGCGGGGCATCCACTGTATATGTGGAAGAAGGATCATAGTTTGGAGTCTAGCCCGGGCAACTTAGCAGGATTGTGTCTCAAAATAAAGAATGGGCTATGTGTGGTATGGTGACATATACCTATAGTCACAGCACTCGGGAGGCTAAGGCAGGAAAAATCAGCATGTGAGTTCAAGGCTGGCATGCACTGCAAAGCAAGACCCTATCTCAAAAAAAAAAAAAAAAAAAAAAAAAAAAAAAAAGAAGAAGCTAGGACTATAGCTCAGTGCAAAGGCCCTAGGTTCAGTGCGTAGTACCCCTAAGATTATATTGCTGGATGTGATGGCACACACCTGCCATCTCAGCACTCAGGAGGCTGACGTAGGAGGATTACTGAGTTCAAGGCCAGCCTGGGTTACATAAAAGTTCAAGGAAAATTTTAACTGCAGGGCCGGGGGTTTAGCTCAGTGGTTCAGCCGCCTGCCTTGCAAGCAAAAGGACCCGAGTTCGATCCCCGGTACCAAAAAAAAAAAATCAAACTGAAAAATAAAAACAGCTGGCAATATAGCTCTGGTTGAGTGCCCTGGGTTCAATCACCAAGCCTAACTAAATAAAAAAATTTTTTTTTTGGTTTTTTGAGTCATGGTCTTGCTATGTATATGTCATGCAAGCTGGCCTTGGACTCACTATGGAGCCCAGGCTGGCCTCAAACTCACATGGTGATCCTCCTGCCTCAGCCTCCTAAGTACTGGAATTACTGGTGTGCACCACCAGGCCTGACAAGGTTCTTCTTTAAAAGCCATTTGTGAGTAATGTAAATCTGAGAGCAGCACACCGCTGTGATTCTAATCTCTGTGTGCTTGAGTGAGCATGGAATTTCCCCGCACCTCTGTGGGTCTCACTATGTTCGTTGTAGGGCCTCTCCAGCATGCCCAAGTCTGCGGCCCTGGAGCTGCTCCTGGTGGAGGACGTGACCGTGAGGCCGGAGAGCGCCACCATCTACAACCACCCCAACGTGCAGGTAGACACTGTGGGTCCAGCCAGAGCAGCCGTGCCCAGAGGGGGCTTTGTGTCCAACAGCGTGACAGTGAGCATGCTCACTCAGTGTGAGAAAGGTGGACGGCACACACGTACAGATAGCAGACGCACACGCACTCAGCTGCAGCGTTCATAAGAGCTGCATTTTGTGATCATTGTGTCTTTTGTCCACTGACCGTAAACTTTTAATAGCATGCTGTTCCTTCCTCTGAGCTGTTTATGAACCGAAGGGAATGTGGTACTGCTTCTCCCATAGGAAGTATTTAGTCTCCTGGAAGGCTCTGGTTACTTTTCGGTCAGCAGCCGTGATCAGGATGTCGCCAGCATCACTTATGCAGAAGCAGAGAGCTCTGTGCAGGTGAGCTGTGGAGATATTTCAGAGTGATGGTCTCAGACTGAAGCTCCATTTCAGAAGGACTGGAAAAATTCCATTTTGTGTTTAAAACTGGGTACAGAAGTAACATTTGCTCCCAGCCTGGGCAACTTAGTGACTTAGCAAGAACCCGTCACAAAATAAAAAAATAAACTAAAAAGGATTGGAGGTGCGGGTCAGCATAAAGACTGGGTTAATCCTTACCACCACAAAAACAAACAAAACAAAACTAACATTAGTCTCTCTTTCCATCTTCAGCCTGCCCAGACTTCAGCCAGAACTAAGGGTGTTTCCTATAGCTGGCTGCGGTACTTGGCAAGTTTTGCTCCTGGTTGAACTGAGGCAGGTATAGGAGACATGTAATTAGGAGATTGCCACTAAAAGGCTCATTTTTATAAATTTCAAAACACGTAACTGTGTAAACTGGAAATAAGACCTAAAATGTATAATAGATATTGGGAAATGGGAAGAAAATGTTCAAATAGGAAGGGGAGAGGGGAAAAGGAAGGAAGGAACAAGAAAAGCGAAAATACAAGGAAAAATGGAAGCACAGCTTTTGTATGTAGGGGAGAGCAGGGGAAAGGACAGGATATATCAGGTACAAGTGCAAATCCCTGTGATGAGTGTTATCATTATGTATATCTAAAATACAACAGTAAAGGTATGTTTTGCTAAAAAATATTTTTAACTTATTTTAATCATGATTCTTGTTTTTGTTTATTTTGGGGGTTTTGGGGGGTTTTGTTTTGTTTTGTTTTGTTTTTTGAGATGGTTCTGCTATCTAGCTCAGGTTGGCCTTGCTCTTAGTGATCCTCCTGTCTCAGCCTTCCAAGTGCTGGGATTATAGGCCTGCACCATCACACGTGGCAATGATGCTTGTTACAAAAAGTAAGACTGAGGCCCTAGATACAGACCCAGAATGTGAAAAACATGCTGTTTTGCAGGAACTGAGGTACAAAGAAGGAAAAAAGGAGGATTAGTTGGCAGTGTTTTCTCCCCGGGGTGATTATAGCATATATGGACTTGATTTTCTTCAGAAAACCTTTTTCCTTTTCATAATTATGAAGCTGAGTATGGACCACACGTGGTGGTGCACACTTAAAATACTAACACAAGCCGGGCATGATGGTGTACGCCTGTAATCCCAGCACTGGAGTCTGGGGCAGAAGAACTGATGAGTTCGAGGCCAGCCTGGGCTAAAAAAATAGAAGAAAAAATACAGCCCATAGGAGACTGAGGTGGCGGGTTTATGATTTCAAAGCCATGCTGGGCTATATAGTGAAATCAAGGCCAGGCTTTACTCTACAAAGAGAGACTCTGTCTCTAAAAAAAACAAGCTGGGCATGTTTTAATAATTGCAGCACTTGGGAGGCTAAAGCAGGAGGATCTTTGTGAGTTTAAGCCCACTCCAAATAAAAACAAAAAAAACAGATGTAAGAGAAGTTTGGGGGTGAGAAATCTCCTTAAATTCATCACTTTAAACTCTATTCTTCATGAGTTAGTATTTTTGTTTTTGTTTTTAATAGCAAAGCATTTACCGGTACATTTTAGGCATCCGTAACGCTCATCGCAGGGAATTTGCACCTGTACATGATACAGCTCCCCCGTTTGCCCATTCCCCCTGCTCTCATGCTCCCCTCCCTAGGTACAAAAGCTTTGTTTCCATTTCTTCTGTTTTCTGTTTTCTTGTCCCATCCTTCCTTTATTTCTCCCTCTCTCTCTCCTCCCTTGTTCCCCTTCCCATTTGAACACTTTCTTCCCATTTCCCAGTATCTATTATACATTTTAGTCCTTATTTCCACTTTCAGTGCCTCACACCAGAGCAACGATGCAGCGTTTAAACACGTCTGTCTGATTTATTTCACGCAGGAGTACGGTCTCAAGGTCCACCCACTTAGCTAGAAACGTCGGAAGCGCATCCCTCTTCATGGCAGAGCACTCCATTGTGTAGTTTTAAAAACACCACATCTCTATCCATTTGTCACTTGATGGGCATTTGGGCTGTTTCCAAGATTTAGCTATTACAGACTGCTACTATAAACCAGAGTGTGCTAGGATGGGTGTGTGGTAGGATGCTTTTAATTCTTTCGGGAAGATACAAAGAAAAATAGCTGGGTCAAATGGAACCTCTAGTTTAGTTTTTAGGGAAATCTCCACACTGATTTCCACAGTGGTTGCACCACTCAATACTCCTGACAACAGTGGAGAAGGGTTCTTTTTTCCCCACAGCCCCACCAGGAGTTGTTATTAGTTGATTTTGTTGTTGCTGTTGATTTCTTGATAATAGCCATTTTTTCTGGAGTGAGATGGAATCTCAGCATTGTTTTAATTTGTATTTCTCAAATGAGTAATGATGTTGAACATTTTTTCATATATTTATTTGCTGTTTCTACTTCTGTGGGGTTTTTTGTTTTGTTTTGTTTTGTTTTGGGGGTTTTTTTTGTACAAGGGATCAAACTCAGGACCTTGCGCTTGCAAGGCAGGCACAATGCCACTGGGCTAAATCCCTAGCCCTATTTCTACTTCTTCATTTGAGAAGTGCCTATTCATTTCAGATGCCCATTTTTTAATTGAGTCTTTAAATTTGGGGGTATCTGATTTTTTTTAGTTCTTTATATATTCTAGATAGTCCTTTGTCTCTGTCTGATGAATAACTGATAAAAAAAATTTTTTTTTCCTCACACTGGGTTGGTGGTTTCTCTTGCTGTGCAAAAGCCTTCTAATAAGATGAGGTCCCAGGCTAGGGATGTAGTGAGTGGTGCCATGCCTGCCTGGTAAGCCCAAGTCCTAAGTTCAATTTCTGGTACCAAATAAATCAGTTAATTAAATAGTAAGACGAGGTCCCTATTGTTGTTTCTTTGTGTATGGTTCCTGTGCAATCAGAGTTTTCTTCATAAAGTCTTTGCCTGTACCATTGTCTTCAAGAGTCTACCTAGTCTTTCTTCCAACAGATTTAATGTTTCTGTTTTAATGTGTAGCTCTTTGATCCGTTTCGATTTTAGGTTAGTGCATGATGACAGATATGGGTCTAGTTTCAGTCTTCAGCTTGTGGAAAGCCAGTTTTTCCAGAACCATTTATTAAAGAGGCTGCCATCAATTAGTGTTTGTTAAGGTGCTCCATAAACTGAAGCACTATTTCCAGCCTACGTACTATGCTGAGCTGTACCATGTAAGCAGACCTCTGAGAGTTCCCCTCTGAGAAGTACTGAAATGTAGTTGTATGGCTGTGCCTGGAGCACATTCTTTTCTGTACCCAGCAGCCCTCTTCCTCCTCATAGTTAGTTCCTGTGCGTCCGGGATTTCTCACCTTGGAAGTCTATGATCTGTGCCTGGCTTTCTCCGGTCCAGCAAAAGCCCACCTGAGGGTGTCAGACATACAAGAACTGGAGCTCGATTTGATTGATAAGGTGAGCGACTCGGCCTTCAACTCAGCTTTGCTCTTGTTCTGCAGCATCACTAAACAGTCATCTCAACTACTGTGTGTTTGCCAGGACTTTTGGTACATTAGTGGGAGAACTTCCCTTAAAGACCGACATTCTAGTATTACACATGATAAAGATGAAAATTAAGTGTTAAATGACAGTTTAAAGCTGGGTAGCTGTGCAAGCCTGTAATCCCAGCTACTCGAGAGGCTGAGGCAGGAAGATCGCAAAATCAAGGGTAGCCTGGGGCAATTTAGTGAGATGCTGTCTCAGAATTTAAAAAATAAAGTCTCAAACCAGGAAGTGATGGCACACACCTGTAATCCCAGCACTTGGGAGGCTGAGGCAGGAAGATTGCTAAGAGTCTGAGGCCAGCATGGGCTACATAGTGAGACCCTATCTCAAAAAAAGCCAAAATAAATAAAGTCTGGAGGTAGGTATAGCTTAGTGGTTGAAGTGCCCTTGGGTTTGATCTCTAGTACTGAGAAAACAAACAAAAAACAACTTAAAATACATAGTACACATAGGTCCATTTGATCAAAAACTAATCAGGAACAACAGCATGATAAACAGGTTTGCTCTCCAAGAGGAGTTAGACTGTTCTTGAGGAGTGAAAAGCTACAGTCTGTTTTCCGTTTTTTTCAAACTGCTAGGTTGAGATTGGCAAAACTGTGTCAGTGACAGTGAGGGCTCTCGACTCCTCTAAACAGCCATTCCGAAATAAATACTTCAGGGACATGGAGCTCGGGCTGCGACTCGCCTCGGCCATCGCCACGCTGTCGTGAGTACATGTCTGACTCTTCCTTCCTACCGTGGAAATCCCTGCTGGCAGTCTGGTCAGTGTCCCTTGGCGTCTTCCAGATTCTCTCCTGCTCTTCCCTGTCACAAGATCTTTCCCGTACTCTTCCACCTTCAGCTCTCCAGAAAACGTACATTGCCTGTCCTGCACTGTCTTGGTTGGGGCCCAAATCGTATGTGCCATTAATGTGTTTATTTTTGAAGTTGCTCCTCGGAGGATACCTTTTGGGAGTGCTGCCGGTAGAGGATCTTCAAAACCATTGAGATGAGGAGGTGTTGGTATTCTCATCTGAAAAAGGAAAAATTGCAAGAATTCCAGTTTTTTGCCAATCTGGGTTTCTATCCCTCTCTTTCCTTTGTTGCCAAGTTTTGCCCCTTGAGAGCTTCCTGTCATTATCATGATATTTGTCTTGGCTCTTTTCCTCTAATCAGAATTATGAGCAGAAAATGAAACAGCATCTCAAAGAGATGCCCCACTAGCCATGTCCAAGTCTTTCTCACCTAAAAACACATTGGCCCTTGCAGACTAATGGAGGAACAGGATGCATACTCTGAAAGCTACGTCCTTCGGGCTGTCGCCGTTGGGCAGACCACACTTGTGGCCACCACCAGAGACAAGATGGGAAGACAATTCACATCAGCCCCTCGGCACATTGAAGTAAGGACATGTCCTCACTTGGAATTTGCACTTTGTCTTGTTTAGCATTGTTCATTTTTTATGTCTAGTTTGCCCAAGTTGAAAAAGCACTTGATAGCGAGGCATGGAGGTGCACGCCTGTAATCCTAGCACTCGGGAGGCTGAGGCAGGAGGATCAACCAAAGCTTAAGGCTAGCCTTGGCTACATAGTGAGTCTCTGTCTCAAAACAAAACAAAATCATGATAAAGGTAATTTTAATGGTCCCTTTTGCTCCAGTGAGTTGATGTCATAATTATTTTTAATTTTTTTACTGTTGTAAATAAAGTAAAAATACATTGGCGTAACTTCTTTGCACATGATGAGGAGTTTTCCTTATAAACTAATGATTCTCATCAGTCACTATTGTCCTTTTGGTTCTCTCCTTCAAGGTGTTTCCTCCATTCAGACTTGTTCCAGAGAAAATGACCCTGATTCCAGCGAACATGATGCAGGTGATCTTGAAATTAGGACGGTAACACGCACGCACGCAAGCACACACGCGCCCCTCTTCCTGCTGGCCTCCTCATGTCTACTCCCAGTCACACACAACTGGATCTGATGGAGGAGGCTTTCCCTGGTCTGTACTGCACGTGGCATCTGCTGTCACCAGAACCTTGAGCGTCACCTGTGACGCTCCATTTCCTCTGCATTTGCACCCACGAGGCGTGCGGTATCCAGGAAGTGGGGGCGATGAGGAAGTCAGGTTGCTTGCACAGAATGTCAAGAAAGCTGCGACTTCTCCCGACATTTAGGTGCTTGTTGTGTTTCGATCCTAGGTGACGTGCGAAGGCGGCCCTCAGCCTCAGTCCATCATCCTCTTCTCCAGCAGTAATCAGACGGTAGCTGTCGTTAACAGGAGGGGGCAGGTTACAGGCAGAGCAGTTGGCACAGCAGTGGTCCATGGCACCATCCAGACAGTAAATGAAGATACTGGCAAAGTCATTGTATTTTCCCAGGTATCAGTCCTTCCCTGTGCTCAGCTTGTGCTCATCGATTTGGGAACCATATTGGGGATTTTTGGAGGAAGAAGAGTAGAGGAAGTGTCAGCAGTCCAAGAAAACCCTTTAAGAAAGAAAGCTTTAGTAGCTGGATGTGATGAGCACACCTTTAATCCCAGCACTCAGGAGGCTGAGGCAGGGGAATCACCACAAGTTTGAGGCCAGCCTGAGGTACATATGAGTTCAAGGCCAGTCTGAACTGCACAGTGAGACCCTGTCTCTCTCTCTCTCTCTCTCTCTCTCTCTCACACACACACACACACACACACACACACACACACACACACACACGCCTGCCTGTTGTAAGACATCATCCTTATCCTTCAGGAATTCTTTAAAAACAAATTCTTTAAAAATCCACCATGTAACATTCTTTTTTGAATGCCAAAAACAGCACGACAAACTAGTAGTCGTAGCGCCCCTGTCCACCCCGTACCACTGCCTCCTAGCCTACGCTTGCTCTCTGCCTGCCGAGCAGGATGAAGTACAGATTGAAGTCATCCGGCTGAGGTCTGTTAGGATCGTTGCAGCTACGACGCGACTCATCACTGCTGCCGAGGTCAGCGGGGGTTCTCTTCCGGTCTGTGCTTCTGATGATGCTGGGTGCAGAGGCAGACAGCACAGAGCCACTCACTCTCTGCAGATGCCGGTGTATGTCACAGGAGTGACCAGCACACAGAGCCCCTTCTCCTTCAGCAATGCCCGCCCGGGGCTTGCCTTCCACTGGTCCCTGAGTAAAAGGGATGTGTTGGATCTAGTGCCCAGGCATTCAGAGGTAGGCGTTTATGTGTTCACTGCATTACCCTCCATCTAAATATATTTCATCTTAAGTTTTCAGTGTTCCTCTGCACTGTCTAGGTTTCCCTGCAGCTTCCAGAAGAGAATAACTTTGCCATGGTTGTTCACACAAAGGCAGCCGGCAGGGCCAGCATCAAAGTCACCATCCACTGTGTGAACAGTTCCTCTGGGCAGTTTGAGGGGAGTGTGTTGGAACTGTCTGATGAAATTCAGATCCTGGTAAGCTTCAACCTAAGTCCCCTTTCCGAGTGTCAAGGAGAGAAAGTTATGATCTCTTACCTCTATGAAGAGCTTAGACTGGAAAGAGGAGTTGCTAGAGGGTCCCTAGGACAGGTCTGCAGTTCCTAGATCCTCATTCCTGCTAAGTGCTTCTGTGAGTATGGATTCTGGGACTTTGGCACAGGCATTCCTCAACTCCCACACTACCCAGGCTCACTTCCAAGCCACTATGGAGGAGTAATTTAGTTCTGCATTACTCCTCCATAGTATGAAATACATCCTAACTTCTGGTAAGGTGTAAGAGTATAAATAGTTTCTACTTTTGATCTCAGATTTAAAAGGACTAAATTACTGCTGGGCATGGTGGTGTACTCCTATAATCCCAGCACTCAGGAGGCTGAGGCAGGAGGATCGCCACAAGTTCAAAGTCTCCTGGGCTACATAGTGTGACCCTGTCTCAAAAAGACAAAGCAAAACAAAAGTACTAAATTACTGCCTTTGCTTGTTTGGTTGGTTGGTTTGATTGTTCATTTTTGAGACAGGGTCTCAGTATGTAGTTCAGGCTGGCCTTGAAATGACTTTGTAGCCCTGGCTGGCCTCAAACTTATGGCAGTTTTCCTACCCCAGCCTCACGAGTGCTGGAACCACAGACATGCACCACCATGCCCAGCTATTGTTTTGTTTTGTTCTAGCAGTGGCAAAGTTTATTCAAGAAAGCAAAAATGAAGAGTGGGAGAGAAAATGGCTCTGCAGAGCTTGGGCCAAGTAAATAGAAAAGAGAGAGAGCAAAGATAAAAATACATGCTGCAGAGCCGGGCGTGGTGGCTCACGCCTGTAATCCCAGCACTCAGGAGGCTGAGGCAGGAGGATCACTGTTAGTTCGAGACCAGCCTTGGCTACACAGTGAGTTCCAGGGCAGTCCCGACTGCATAGTGAGACCCTGTCTCAAAAAACCAAAAAAAAAAAAAAAAAAAACATGCTGCAAAACACAGTACACACTGCATCTGTGAAACCGGTGTGGGCTATTGTGGAAAATTACGATAGCCTATTATTTTGTTTCTCTGCTTTTCACTGTGTATATCAGGCTGGCATCAGCTGGCAATGATCTTCCTCCTCAGTCTCCCTGTGCTGAGATTACAGGCAACTTGTTTGTTTGGTACCAGGGATCAAACTCAGGACCTGTCACGTATGAGGCAGACACAGCACCACTGAGCTAAATCCCCACCCCTGCAACTTTATGTGTTTGTTGTTGTTCTTTTTGTTTTTCAGGGACAGGCCTATGTAGTTTAGCTGGCCTTGTACTTACTGTATAGCCCAGGCTGGCCTCAAAGTCATGGTGAGCCTCCTGCCTCTGCCTTCCAAGAGCCAGGATTACAATGTGCACCCTGGCACTAGGCAATAAATTACCATTTCTGTAGGGAAGTAAGTTTCTCTGCCTTTAAGTTTGGGCTGATTTTACTCCTTTTACTTTTCCTCTTGTTCTGCAATTCAGTGTACAGAAGAAGAAAGAACACTTTTCTAAGAAGTAGAATAACTGGATAGTATCCCATGCTGATTTAATTTTGTAGGTTTCTGTTCCCAAATCTCACTCCAGGTTACCAGAACCAAAAGTAGAAATTTCAAAGTTATTTTATATCTAAATAGTTAGATGAGAGGCTGGAGATTGATCTCAGTGGTTCTGCCGCCTGCCTCGCAAGTGCAAGGTCCTGAGTTCGATCCCCAGTACCAAACCACCCCCGCAAAATAGATGAAATAATAAGTGTAAACTCTGCCACATACATGTCCTTCAGTTAGAAGCAGGAAAAAAAAGAGAGGCACAGTTATGTTATTTATATATTCTAGAACACAGTTTCAAGTTCCTGGCTATTTTGGAAAGGAGTATGATGGAAGATTTTAGACCAATTACATGTTAAACAGACTGTTGACTTGTGGTATCATTTATTTAGCATTAAATACCTTCGGGATTTTGCTAACGTCCATATGTGAGTAAAGGTCATAGCTTATCTTCCGGAAATTAGGAAAACATTATTTTCTCATCATAGGTGTTTGAAAAACTCCAACTTTTCAATTCAGAGTGGCAGCCTGAGAAGATTCTAATGCCTATGAATTCTCAGCTCAAAGTCTATACTAACAGGTAAGGAAAAGGGAAAGAGAAGTCCAGTTTATAACTTTGTGTCTTTAGTAAATGTTTGCATGTGGATTCGGGCACAATGGTACATTTGGGTAATCCCAGCTGCTTGGGAGACTGAGGCAGGAGGGTCACAAGTTCAAGACCAGCCTGGGCAATTTAGTGAGACCCTATTTCAAATTTTTAAAGAGTGTTGTGGGTGGGCCGGGGGTTTAGCTCAGTGGTTCCACTGCCTGAGTTCAATCTCCAGTACCAAAAATGATAGAGTGCTTGCTTCATATTACAAGGGCCCGGGTTCCATATCCCCAGTAATTCAAAGAAAAACATTGCCCATAGGAAGAACTACCATTGCCTTTCTTGAAGTCATTTTTTTGGTTTGGTTTGGTTTTTTCTGGTACCGAGGCAGGCACAGTGCCACTGAGCTAAATCCCCGGCCCTACCATTGCCTTTCTTTAATTGAAGACAAATAATTCACGTAACATAAAATTAACTTTCCTTCTTTCTCCATAAAAGGGACTGAACACAGGGCCTCCTGCATGTAGGCAAGAGCTCTACCTCGGAGCCACAACCCTAGCCCAAAACGATTTCAAGGCAGAAACTCAGGGCAATATTGTGCAACTATCACTTCTATCTCATTTTATTTTGTTTTTGTTTTTTGATTTTGACTTTGGTTTTGGTTCTGGGGATTGAACCCAAGGCCTTTTCACTGAGCTACATCACAACCCTTATTTTTAATTTTGAGACAGTCTGAGTTGCTGAGTTGCTGAGCTGCCTAGGCTGGGCTGAGCCATCTCCTAGAGTGTGCTGCCTCACCGGCCTGTCTGGTTCTCCCTCTCCCTCCGTCTCTCTCCCTCTCTCTCCCTCTCTCTCCCTCTCCCTCCCCCTCCCTCC